CCCAGCCCCGGAAGCGGCCTGGGCTTCCTGTCCCCTCCCGCCCGGGAGCAGGGCGCAGCGGCCCGGCCTCAGCCACCGAGCTGGCCCTTGGTCCCGCACGGAATCCGCCTCCCCACCCCCTCCCGTTCCCCGGCTTGCGGACCGCCGAGGCCCTCCGAGACCCTAGGGCGGCCCCTACGTGGGAAATGGCCCGAGACAGAAGCATGTGGACAGCAAATGGCGACAAGCGCGAGGTTCTGCAGATGGCAGCGAGGACCTGCGCGGAGGGCGCCGCGGGTCACCTGTGGCTGGGGTGGCGGCGGACGGGCCGCTGCTGACCCCCGGTGGCCACTTTCGCTACTGCAGGGCGGCTTTGCGTTTCCCTCCAGTCACTGCCTGGAGCAGCTCTAGGGACAATTTACCCCCGCGCACGAGGACAAATTTGCAAAATTCAGGAAGTATAGATGGAACCAAAAACTGTACGTGATTTCTCCACTGTTTATACTTGTCCCCCAGATTGCAAGGCGAGGTCCTCCTGCCTAGGCCGAATCGCTTGTCCCCACATCTCCCCTCTAGGTAGGAAGGAACCCTTGACCTCCGGCTGTCCTGCAGCGTGGGAGGGTAGTGTCATCACAGTTTAAAGGATTTCACTTTATTTATCACCATCACCATTATTATTTTGCTGTGCTGGGGGTTTGAAACCCAGGGACTTGCATGCAGCAAGCATGAGCTCTAGCACTGAGCTGTTTGGGCTGGGGATGTGGTTCAGCGGTAAAGTGGATGCCAGAGCCCTAGATTTGCTCCTCAACACGGCAATACAATAAAACAAAATAAAAGTAAAAATAATAATTTAAATATACAATCACTTTTCAAAACAGAAAAGAATATATTGTGAAAGCTTCTGCCCACCCCACGCTTTTACTTCTCACTGAATTTCTTTCTTTTGCTTCTTTGTGCAAAATAAACAAATGCAGTCTGGTCCCCTCCCCTTTCGGCATATTATCCCCTCTGTTCTGAACTTTGCTGTTTTTATTTAACAATACACCCTAGACAGGCCTGGGCTCTATCCTTAGCACTGCAAACAAACAAACAAACAAACAATAGCCAGGCATGGTGGCATATACCCACGATCCCAGCACTGGGGAGGCTGAGGCAGGAGCATCATGGTGAGTTTCAGGCCAGCCTGGGCTACAAAACAAGACCCTGTCTCAATAAAAACCAAAGCAGTAATAAGAAGCAAACAAACAAAAAACCCCACTGTACCCTGGAGACCTTTCAATTTCTGTGTGTTTCTTTGGTTTAATTCCTGGGCTGATACTTGTAGATTGCTTATGGTGAGTATCCTTATTGCTAGTATTCGGGACCCTTGGGGGATGACTACTTCTCTGAGGTGTCTTCCAGGTATAGTAGGCTCTTGGGTTTAGAGTCTGTGGCAAGATCCTACCTCTTCAGTCCACTAGGCACTGGATTCCTGATTCCTTGGCCCTGACCTATAGTATTTTTAATGACCCTTAGGCAATCTCAGTCTTGGCACACCAGGAAGAACAACTGCTTAGAACAATTATGTCACCTTTGCTGAAGTAATACAATCAGCATCAACAACAGTATCTAACACAGCTTGGAAAATGACAAACTGTGGTAACTATTAATTTGTCACTTTTAACTGTATGAACGAGGTTTGTGGTTATATAACAGAATCTAAAACAAACCAGAAATGTTTATAGTAAATAAGCCCTCAGTATAGCAAATTTGCCCTTGGGGAGAAAGGTTAGAAGGAGTTGGGGGTGGTAGAAAAATATAAGAAGAGGCAAAGATTAGAAGTAAGGCTAGACCAAGAGAGATTATGGAAAGGTGCAAATTTCCAAAGATGAATGTCATTATATTGTATACCTAAAATGTACCAATAGAAGTAAGGCTAGAGGTCAAAGGGTAGATCATGTAAACGTTGGGAGACTGGTGAAAACATGAAGGAAAGAGAAAAGGAAAAGATAGAAACAGGAGCAGAAGAAAACAACAGCAATAAGAAAAAACAAAACAAGGCAAGAACAGAAACAAGGGCAGGGGATTTAGCTCAGTGGTTTCGTTGTCTGCTGCGCAAGTGCAAGGACCCGAGTTTGATCCCTGGTACCAAAATAAATAAATAAAATAAAAATAAATAAAAGACCCAAAACAGAAACAAGAAAGGAAAGAAATGAAGGGGGGGGGAGGGAAAAAAGCCCCCTTAACTCTGTACAGTTTGACTGCAGGTTCACCCACCATTGCAGTCCGCTGAGTCTTTATTCCATTGTCTCTCTCTCCTTTCTCTCGGTGGCTTCAAATCTCAACACCAAACCTCAGAGAGGCCCTCTCTCTGCTGCTCACCTCATCAGCATCTTCCTGAGCTCAGAACGGTGGTCTTTCCGTTCCTGATGCTGTCTGGACCTGGACGCCTCTGGATCCCTCTGTTCACACTACTGCTCTCGTGGGCGTCCACTTAGGATAGTGCAGCCGGTTGGTTTTGTGTGTTTCTTAACTGGAGAGTGTTTCATTATAGCAGCAAACAGTTTACTTGTCACCTGGATTGTTGTAAGTAAGCACCTGCATTGTTTTCAAATATCTGTTGTTATAAACACTATTGCAACATAGTAAGTCTTAATTTATCGAATGAATGAATGAATGAATGAATGAGTAGAGGGCGGGGTGAGGAAGGCTGTGAAGCCAGACTTATCTCCTCTCCCTGCACACTTCCTGGATTCACAGCCTCTGCTCAACTCCTTCAGGACATCAGCTCATTTAGGCCCTAGAAGGTGGCAAATAACCATCCATGCACCAGCTGGTGAGAAAAAGGGCTTCCACTTTAAAGGGCAAAGCCCTGATCTAGGCAGGTTAGAAGTAGAAACGGAGAAAGAAAAACATATGAACAAAATTTTGAAGGGAATAAAACAACCCAGTTTTCTTTTCTTCTTCACCACCCACCAGGGGTTTAATTCACCTAAGTCTGGACAGTTCAGAGAGGGGCTCTGCTTTGTCCCCATTCAGGGGTGAAGATCTGCAGGGCACCCTTGGAATGGCCAAGCCCAGGGGAGCCTGAGACTAGTCCCTGAGGAAGCAGAGAAGTGGGTCTCAGGTCTCCAGCTGCCTCTTCCTCTTCACTTTCCTCCTCACTCTCATAATAAGCCAGTTTTCCTTTGTAGTAGACACAGCTTCCCGCAGGAGCTAAGGGAGCCATGCTACAGTCTCTGCTCTGAAAGGGCTGGAGGCCTGGGAGCTCCTGGACCTCTAAGCTCTGGGATAATGGCTGACCCCAACCTCTGCCCCCTCCCTTAGGCAGCAGGATCACTGCAGTTTGAGTTCGAGACCAGCCTGGGCTACATAGTGAGCCCTGTCTCAAAAAGCAAACAAACAAACAAACAAACAAACAAACAAGCAGCCTGAAGAAAGAAAACTCCTGTCTTTCTTTACTCCTAAGTTAGTCAGCTTTCTGTTACTGTAAGAAATACCTGAAATAATCAGTTTATAAAGAGAAAAGGTCACTTGCAACCCTAGCACTCTGGGAGGCTGAAGCAGGAGGATCACAAGTTTGAGCCCAGGCTCAGCAATTTAGTGAGATCTTGTCTCAAAAAACAAATAGGGCCAGAGATGTAGTTCAGTGACACGACACCTGCCTTGCAAACACAAGGTCCTGAGTTTGATCCTCAGTACCAAGAAAAAGAAACCAACCAACCAACCAATGAACCAACCAAAACCAGAAAACAAAAAGAAAAGAAAGAAAGAAAAAATACGGCTAGAGATGTAGACTGGTGTAGAGACCTGGGAGAGACTCTGGGTTCAGTCCTCAGGAGAGAGAGAGAGAGAGAGACAGACAGAGAGAGAGAGAGAGACAGAGAGAGAGAGAGAGCTCACAGCTCGGGAGGGTCTGCCCGTGGTTGTTTGGCCAGCAGCTTTGGGCTGTGGTGAGCAGCTATGACCAGGGTGCCAGACAGAGGTAGAAACTGGGCTCCCATGTTCCCCTGGAGGGCACAGCCGTGTGACCAGAAGGCCACCTCTTAAGGGTTCCAGTGAGATAGGATAAAATAAAGATAGGTAGAAAAGGAGGCAAGGAAAATCATAACACAAAATTGTTCTTTTAAGACTGCAACTTCCCAAGTGGTCAAAGTTACCTCAGGCCGTCAGTGGCGAACCTATAAGCATGGATGCCGCAGAGGGCATGCAGAGCCTTCTCGGCCAGTACCCGAGGGAAGCCGGCACAGCACTAGGTTTAACTGTAGCCCTGGCACTTTGCGGTAAATAAGTGGGTTTGGGGTTGTAGTTTGGGTCACTAACAGGTTCTCCATCACTGCTTCAGGCTGGCATTCTGTAGGTTAATTTGTTTCTTTCCTTCCAGACCCATCATACCCAAAATTCCTTAAAAATAGTCTCAATCCAGCCTGGTTTGATGGTGAATGCTTGTAAATCCCAGCACTTGGGAGGCTGAGGCAGGAGGATTGCCACAAGTTTGAGGCCAGCCTGGATTACATAGTGAGTTCAAGCCCAGCCTGAACTGCATAGTAAAACCCTGCCTCAACTAAAAAAAGTTTCTAAGTCCCTAAATTAGCTCCATTGGGAAAGTAAAGAACAGGAACCTGATCTTAAGATAAAGTAACAGACTAAGGGGATTCAAAGAATGCTTTAAATTGTCTATCTTAAAAAATAAAACAAAAGAAAGCTGGCCTACTCCTGTAAAATGGGCCATTACCCTTCTGGGTGTGGGGGCCACCTTTTCCTGGGGTTTCTACCCCCTCAAGAGAAGTGTTCCCAGTTTCAGAAAACAAAGCACCTCTCTCTCTTGAGGGCTCATGACCTATTTCTTTGAGTGTGCCCTTTTCAGATTATGCCTAATACACCAGGTGTGGTGGCACACACCTGTAATTCCAGCAGTCAGGAAGCTGAGGCAGGAGGATCACCAGGAATTTGAGGACAGCCTGAACTACACAGTGAGACTGTCTCAAAATCCCCCAAAACAAAACAAACACAAACAAACCCAAAAACCAAAACCAAATTCTGCCTAATAAGTTAATTTATTCTTCTTACTGATTTGTCCTGAAAATTCTTTTTCCAGATGGGAGTCAGCAGATCTGCAACTTACTCCACAGGTGGGGTGGGTTTGGGTTCCTCATCTCCACTTTGGGAAATTCCTGGGACCCTGTCCAGTGACACTGTCACCTCCCGCTAGTGCCTCGGGCTGGGGACTAAGCCTTTAGCACCTGGGCTTTGGGGGAACATTTAAGATCCAACCCACGAATAAGTCACTAAGGCCAAATGCAGGCAAGGAGACCGGAGTGAAGGGGAGTGCCTCGGCTCCCAGGGAGGGGCGATGGCTGCCCTGAGCTCTGCTCCTGCTCCTCTGCCTGGCTGGTCCCGCCTACTGGGAACTCCTGGCTGGGGTTGGAAGCCTATTCAGGAGCAAATATTATTCCGCCTGTTGCCTGCTTCACCCCAGGAGGCAGGTCCTATGCCAGTCAAGGCATAACGGTTCAAGAATAGGTTCCAACACCCAAATATTGGTATTTGCTGCTCCTATCAAAGTCAACCATGAGAAAGATCAACTTCAGCCTAAGCTGGTGTCTTAGTCACCTATTTGTCACCCTAACAAAATCCCTGGCGCGGGCTGCTTATGAAAAGAGAGGTTTATTCAGTGCAGTTCTGGAGGGTCAGGGCCTGACCCTGTATTAGCTTGGTTCTGGGATGGCAAGAGGAGCGAGTGGTTACATCTCAGCTAAGAAGCGAGCAAGCAGTCCTCTCGGCAGCCCCCGTGACCCCGGGACCTCACTGGGCTGCACCTCCTAGCAGCCTATGCCCTCTCCCGGCACTAGTACCCTGGGCACCAAGCCCAACACACAAACATTTGGGGGAACAAACCACAGCACCCTCCCTCGGCTCCCAAATTCATGTCCAGCTGAATGCAAAGTGCATTCATTCGACCACCAGTCATGCTGAGGTCTTCACAGTTCCAGTATTGTTCAAAACCCTAAGCCGGAAGTCGCAGCGGAGACTCCAGGCATACTCCTTCATCTGTGCCTCTAGAAAAATTAAAAAACAAAAACAAAAAACCAAGTTATATTCTTCTGGGAATGGGATGGTAAAGGGCCTGCTTAGCATGTAGCATGCTGGGTTATATCCTCAGCACTGCCAAACAATTAATAAAACAAAAGTTACATTCTTTTAAGGTACAGAATAAACATGTCTTTCTTTCTGTCTTTCTTTCTTTTTTATTGGAGGTTAGGAAAGTTTTACTGGAAATAAGGAGAAGGAGAATAGCTCTTGTATTTACATGAGGTGTCCCTCAGGGGGTGGCCCTAGAATAAACATTTCTAATCTAAAAGGGAGAAATAGGAAAGTAGAAAGAAGGAATCAGCTCAAAGCAAGTCCAAAACCCAGCAGGTCAGAAGTTAAATCTTAAAGCTGTAAGCCTGGTACCTGGCCACACTGCTGCAGGGCAGCAGGCTGCTCACCCTGGGCTTGCTGCCTGGGTACACCTGGCCGCGCTCGGAGGTGCTGTCATTGGCCAAGGACAACCAGGGCACAGTAGCCCTGGTGGGCAGCTGTGATGCGATTTCTTCCCCCTGGTACTGGGAATCGAACTCAGGGCATCACATTTGTCACAGAGATACATCCTCAGCTCTTTTTTATTTTGAGACGAGCTCTTGCTAAACTGCTCAGGCTAGGTTCAAACTTTTAATCTTTCTGTCTCAGCCTTCTGAGTGGCTGGCTAGCTGGGTTTACAGGTGAGGGTCACTGCACCAGCCTGGGATGGGATATAAATCAATGTTTCAACACACATTGGGAATGTGAAATAGTATTTTGATGAACTATCCTTATCTCTTCCACCATTTATAGTCCAGGCCTTTTAATTCATCGCAGTTTTGTTTTTGCTTTGTTTGGTTTGGTTTGGTTTTGGGGATGGAACCCAGCGTCTCACCCTCACACCTACTAGGCAAGTGCTCTGCCACTGAGCTAAATCTCCAGCCCAGATTTTTTTCTTTTATTAGGTCCTTTTCCTCCTGAAAACCAGGAGGAAAAGAACCTAATATATATATAATATATAATATATATATATATACACACACACACATATATACATGTTTAGGAGCATGATATATTAAGAATATGTAGCACTGAGCTACATCCCCAGATCATTTTTATTTTTAAATTTCAAGACATGGTCTTGCCCAGGCAGTACTTGAATTTGTGACCCTCCTGCCTCAGTTTCCCAAACCACTGGGATTACAGGAGTGCACCACCACACTCAGCAGGATTGATTCTTTTTGGGGGGGGGGTACCGGGGATCAAACTCAGGACCTTGTGCTTTCAAGGCAGGCATCGGAACCACTGAGCTAAATCCCTGGCCCCAGAACTGATTCTTTTGACAGGGCTATTTAATAGGTGGTCCCCTTCTAATTGCATATCAAGGGGCTGCGGATTTAGTTCAGTGGCACTGTGCCTGCCTCACAAGCGAAAGTTCCCGAGTTCTATCCTCAGTTAAAAAAAAACCTCAGCTCCCCCTCACTAACTGCGTATCAATTGTATTAAAGGGTCTCCAGAGAGGCAGAACCACTAGGATGGGTGTATAAATGGACAGATGGACAGACAGATTTATGGAGATGGCTAAATAGATGACAGAAAATTTATAGAGAAAAATAGATAAATAGGAGAATGGGAATGTAGCTCAGTGGCACTGCACCTATCTGGTAAGCGCAAGGTCCTGAGTTCGATCCCTGGTACTGAAAAATTTTTAAGAAAAGAAGATAGGAGAAAGTTTATAGAGAGAGGGAAGGACAGAGAGAGAGAGAGAGAGAGAGAGAGAGAGAGAGAGAGAGAGAGAGAAACTGTGGAGAGTGAGAAATCCCACAGACTGTCTGCAAGAGGGAGATTCAGGATGTCAGGAATGTGGCTCAGAACCAAAACAAAACAAAACAAAAAATTTAAGAAAAGCTGGGCATGGTGGCACACGCCTGTTATCCCAGCACTCAAGAGGCTGAGACAGGAGAATTGCCATGAGTTCAAAGCCAGGCTGGACTACATAGTGAGTTTAAGTCCAGCCTGGACTACATAGTGAAACCTTGTCTTAGAAAACCAAAAAAAAATACAAAAAAACTGGGCACGGTGGCACACACCTGTGATTCCAGCACTCAGGAGGCTGCCAGGAGTTTAAGGCCAGCTTTGGTCATGAAGTGAGTGCAAGGCCAGCTTGAACTACACAGTGAGACCTTGTCTCAAAAGAAATTCCCCCCTAAAAGAAAAAAGTCCCAGAACCAAGCCGGACATGTTGGCACACATCTGTAATCCCAGCACCCTGGGAATCTGAGGCAGGAGACTCAAAAACTCATACCCTTCCTGGGCAATTAGCAACCTAGTGAGACCCTGTCACAAACAAACAAACAAACAAACAGGGCTAGGGATGCAGCTTAGCATGAAGGACCTGAATTCAATCCTCAGTACTGAAAAAAAAGCTGAAGGACCAGAGAGGTTGATGGTGTAATTTCAGTCCAAGGCTGGGGGCTGCTGGTGTAAGGGTCCTGGGCTCTAAAGCTGTAGAACCTGGAATTCTGACGTCCAAGCACTGAAGGATGTTCCAGCCTTAGGAGAGAGGCAGAGAGAGCAAGTGGACCTCTCCTTTGGGTCTTTCGTGCTACCTGGGCCCCAGCCATCCAAGACTCACCCCCTGGAAACACTGTCACTGACACGCCCGGGAGGACGCATTACACCATCTCGCTGGGCATCCTGGAGCTCAGTCAGCTGATACTATAATTAGCCTCCACACGGATGAAGAGCAGCCAGCCAAGGTCACAGCCGTCCACAGCTGGTGCTGCAGGGCAGCAGGCAAATGGAGAGGGGGTGGCTTGGCTTTCCACTACTGTAACAAAACACCTGGATGACCAAGGTAGAAAGAGAAAAATTGGCTTTTAGTTTTGGAGTTTTCAGGCCATGCTTGGTTGGCTTGGTTGCCCTTGGGCCCATGGCGAGGCTGGAGATGATGTGAACAAGGTCTCCTGCTCAGCTCCTGATGAGGAACAAACGAGAAAGGGCCAAGCTGCGCTACCCCTTCAGGGCCTGTCCTCAGTAACTGGCAGACGCACCTCTCAGAGTTTCCACCCTCCCGCCGAGGGGCACCACGCTGGGGACTAAGCCAGGTGGGTCTCTAGGGGACATCTCAGATCCAAAGTCTAGCCGGCCTCACTGCAAGTCGGGGTGGGGAGGGAGCCAGCAGGACTGGGCAGCCCCTCCACCCACCGAGTCCACCCACGGGCTGGGCTCTGGACAGCCTCAGACCTCTGGGAGCCTCCTCCCGCCCTGTCCCTACGTCCCACACCCTTTCACGAGCTGAGCTCCAGGGCAACCTCCTCTTTCTTCTATTGCTCCTTGCCTGTCTTTATTATTGCTCCTCTTCCTCCTCCAGAAATCACTGTGTTCAGCAGGGGCACACAGGGGTCCTGCCTGGCGCTGCAGCTCAGGCTCCCAAATCCCCCCAGGGCCTCTCCCTGCTGCTGGACCTGGCCAAGCCCTGAGCAGGAGCCCAGAGAAGGTCCTGGTCCATCGTCCCTGCTATCAGTTTGGCACCTTGGGCCAGCAGCCTCTCTAGGACCAGTCCCAGGAGGAGACAGATCCTGGAAGTGAACAGGGGACCTGGCAGAGGCAGGAAGAGCCGCGGGCTTGGGGTTCGGGAGCCCCGTGCAGATACCCAGGTTGTGAGGACACATCAGCCTGACCACGCCTGAGGTCTTGCTTTTCTTCTCCAGCCGGGCCAGGGCTTCAGGAAGCTGCCCCTGCAGCCACCGTACCCCAGTGGGGGCGGGCATGGGGTGGAGGCGGGTGGGCTTGAGGACACAGGGCTTCAGCCTGGGAGGTTCTGAAGTTTTTCTGTCACCTGGCTAATAATCAGGGTCACAAGTCTGAGACCGCAGCACCGTCCCAGCATACTCACCAGGACCCCAGCCCAAACCCCCACTATAGCACCTGCACCCGCAGGACTCCCTGATAGGCCCTTGGAGCACCTACCCAGTCACCTCATTTTCCAGTCCCCTGGGCACATCCATGCTGAGGTCCTGAGACAGTTTAGGGATCAGAGATCGAGCTACGTGACACTAACATGGCAGGTCCCCATCCTGTTCTTTTGTTTGGTTTGTTTTTTGGTACCGAAGATTGAACTCGGGTCCCTATGCACAGCAGGTGGCGAAACCACTGAGCTAAATCCCCGGCCCATGTTTTTTTTTTTTTT